CTGGGTCAGAGAAGAAATAAAAAGAGAGATCAAGAGATATACAGAAACGAATGATAATGATAGTACAACATATCAAAACTTTTGGGACACAGCAAAAGTGGTGATAAGAGGAAGGTTCATATCTTTATAGGCCTACCTCAAAAACAAGAATAAGCCCAAATAAACAACCTAATACTTCATTTAAAAAAACTAGGAAAAAGAAGAACAAATGAAGCCTAAAGTCAGCAGAAGGAAAGAAATAATCAAAATTAGAGCAGAATTAAATGAAATTGAAAACAAAACAAAAAAAATAGAAAAAATAAATGCAACAAAGAGCTGGTTCTTTGAGAAGGTTAATAATATTGACAAAGTCCTGGCTAGACTCACTAACGAAAAAAGAGAAAGAACACAAATAAACAAAATCAGGGATGAAAGAGGAGAAATTATGACAGACATTGCAGAAATACAACATATCATACAAGAAATGAAAATGTACATAACACCAAATTTAATAACCTAGAAGAAATGGACCAGTACATAAAAAAGAAACAACCTTCTTAGACTGAATAAAGAAGAACTGGAAAATCTAAATAGACCGATGAGCAGTATAGAAATTGAAACAATCATCAAAAACCTACCAAAAAGTAAAAGTCCAGGACCAGATGGCTTTACCAGAGAATTCTACAAAACATTCAAAGAAGATTTAATACTTATTCTCCTCAAACACTTTCAAAAAATCTAAAAGGAGGCAATACTTCCTAACTCATTTTATGAGGCCAATATTACCCTGATACCAAAACCTGGTAAAGATACACAAAAAAAAGAAAACTACGGACTAATATCTCTCATGAACACAGATGCAAAAAGTCCTAAATAAGATACTAGTGACCTGAATACAACAACATATTAAAAATCCTAAATAAGATACTAGCGAACTGAATACAGCAACATATTAAAAAGATTATACACCATGATCAGGTGGGCTTCATCCCAAGGGCACAGGGATGGTTCAACATATGCAAATCGATTAATGTGATACACCACATAAATTAAAAAATAATAATCATATGATCATATCAATAGATGCAGAAAAAGCCTTCAATAAGATATAGCATCTATTTATGATCAAAACACTTAACAAAATCAGTATAGAAGGAAAGTACCTTAACATAATAAAGGCCATAAATGACAAACCCTCAGCCAACATTATTCTTAATGGTGAAAAACTAAAAACCTTCTCTCTAAGATCAGGAACATCGCCGCTGTTCTTCAATATAACATTGGAGGGTCTAGAGAGTGCAGTCAGGCAAGAGAAAGATATAAACGGCATCCAAATAGGAAATGAAGAAGTCAAACAGTCACTATTTGTGGATGACATCATTCTCTATATAGAAAACCCTAAAGACTCCACAAGAACACTAAGCAAATATAGTAAAGTTTCTGGATATAAAATCAATGTTCAAAAATCTATAGTGTTCCTATACTCTAATAATGAAGTGTCAGAAAAAGAAGTGGAAAAAATAATTCCTTTTGCAATTTCAACAGAAAGAATAAAATACCTAGAAATAAATCTAACAGAACAAGTGAAGAACCTATGTAATGAAAACTACAAGACTCTATTAAAGATACAAAGAAAAAGAAAGATATTCTCATTCTTGGATTGGAAGAATCAACATAGTAAAAATGACTTTATTACCTAAATCATTATACAGATTTAATGCACTCCCCCATCAAAATCCCATCGGCATTTTTTAAAGAAATAGAACAAAAAATCGTCAGATTTGTATGGAAGCACAAAATGCCTTGAATTGCCAAAGCCATCCTGAGAAAAAAGAATGAGGCTGGAGGCATCACTCTGCCTGACTTCAAATTATACTACAAAGAGACAATAATCAAAATGGCATGATATTGGCAGAAAAACAGACACAAAGATCAGTGGAACAGAATCAAGAGTCCAGAAGTAAACCCATGTGTATATGGGCAAATAATTTTTGACAAAAGAGCCAAAAACATACAGTGGAGAAAAGATAGCCTCGTCAATAAATGGTGCTGGGAAAACTGGAAAGCCACCTGCAAAACAATGAAACTAGACTGCTGTCTATCACCACACACCAAAATGAATCCAAAATGGATTAAGGACCTGCATATAAGACCTGAAACAATTAATTATACAGAAGAAAACATAGGAACGAAACTCATGTACCTTGGACTTAAAGAGGATTTTATATTGCATTTTCGGTTGCTTCCATGTCCTGGCCCAAGGCAAGAATATACAGTAGGGGGAAGACAGTCTATTCAATAAATGGTGTTGGGAAAACTAGACAGATACATGCAAAAAATACGAAACTGGACCATCTTCTTATACCATATACAAGAATAAACTCAAAATGGATTGAAAGCTTAAATGTAAGACCCAAGAAGATAAAACTCTGGAGGAAAACAGAGGCACTTAACTCTCTGACACCGATCTTAGTAATATTTTTTTCTGATATATTTCCTTGGGCAAGGGAAACAAAAGAAAATAAAAAATGGGACAACAGCAAACTAAAAACAATTTTGCACAGCAAAGGAAACCATCAACAAAACTAAGAGACCATACTAACCATACTAAATGAGAGAAGGTATTTACCAATGATATATTCGATAAGGAATTAATACCCAAAATTTATAAAGAGCTCATACAACTCAACACCTAAAGATACCAAACATTTATTTAAAAAATGGCCAGTGGACTTGAATAGACATTTCTCCAGAGGACATTCAGGTGGCCAATAGACAGATACTAAAGATCATTAATTATCAGAGAAATGCAAGTTAAGAACACATGAAATATTATCTCATACCTGTCAGAATGGTTATCATCAAACAAATCAACAAATAACAAGTCTGGTGAGGATGTGGAGGAAAGGGAACCATTGTGTACTGTTAATGGAATTGCAAATTGGTATAGCCACTATGGAAAACAGTATGGAGTTTCCTCAAAAAACTAAGAATTAATCTACCATATGTCCAGCAATCCCTCTACTTGGTATGAACCCCAAAGACTTGAAAACCCATATCCAAAAAGATATTTGCACACTGATGTTCATAGCAGCATTACTCACAGTGGCCAGGACATGGAAGCAACCGAAAATGCAATATAAAATCCTCTTTAAGTCCAAGGTACACGAGTTTCATTCCTATGTTTTCTTCTATATAATTTACTGTTTCAGGTCTTATATTCAGGTCCTTAATCCATTTTGGATTAATTTTGGTGTGTGGTGATAGACAGCAGTCTAGTTTTGCAGATGGCTTTCCAGTTTTCCCAGCACCATTTATTGACGAGGCTTTCCTTTCTCCACTGTGTCCTATGATAGATGATTGATTAAAGAAGCTGTGGCACATATATACAGTGGAATATTACTCAGCACATATATACAGTGGAATATTACTCAGCCATCAGAAGAGATGATATACTGTCATTTTCGACAACGTGGATGGACCTCGAGATAATCATGCTAAGCGAAATAAGCTAGACAAAAAAGTTGAAAATCACATGATATCACTTATATGTGGGATATAAACCTAAAAGCAACAAATGAACAGGACAAACAAAGGGAGACTCGTGGACACGGACAATAGACTAGTGGTTACCAGAGGGTAGGGGGAAGAGGGGATGGGGGAGGTGAAAGGAGTTAAATATGTGGTAACAGAAAGAAATCTAACTATGGGTGGTGAACACACAATGTGATATGTGTATGCCTTACTGTTGAATTGTACACTTGAAACTACTAGATTTCGTTAAAATGTCACCATAATAAAAATTTAGAAAATTTAAAAAGATGTACAAATTGGTAGTTACAAAATAGTCAGGGAATATGTATAGTATATTATAATATTATAGTCCATAATATTGTAATAACTATGCTTGGTGTCAGATGGGTACTAGATTTATCAGGGTGATCACTTCATAAGTTATATAAATGTCTAATCACTATGTTGTATACCTGAAACTAATATAATATTGTATATCAACTGTGATTTAAAAATTAAAAATTATTTAAAATTTAAAATAAATGGAATTATACAATACATGATGTTTTATAACTGGCTTCTTTCACTTAACACATTTCAAGATTTATCCACGTTGTAGCATATATCAGTACTTCACTCCTTTCTAATATGAAAAATATTTCATTGTATGTACACCACATTTTGTTTATCCAACCATCAGTTGACAGACACTTAGGTTGTTTTCACCTCTTGGCTATTGTAACTAGTGCTACTATTATGTGTACAAGTCATTATTTGAGCACTTGTAATGGATCCTTTTCTTAACGCAACCCATCCTTGCCCTTAGATGAGGGAAAACAAAGAACATAAGTTAAGGAAGGGACTAGAAATAAAATTAACATTTAAATATCAGATTAGTACCATTTAAAGTTTTGATTAGTAACAACTATATTTAAATTAATAATGTTCAAGAAACACCTGTATTTAACAAACCTTATTTCTGTTTCATTATAATTCTGAAGTAGACATTATCATCTCCATTTTATAGATCAGGAAACCAAGGTTCAGGTTAAATAATTTGTCCATCATCGCACAGCCAGTGAGTGTCAGCCAACATGGGGTTCCTGGTTTTATTTTTAATTTTTTTGAACTCAGTCTGCCTTTCTGACTACCTCACTCATTAAACTAGCAGTGGAGGTGAGGGAATGGATGGGAGTTACACTACTTTGACAAGTAATTCTTACCAAACTCTTACTTTGGTGAAGTCATCATGCAGAAGCTAATGGTAAAAAATCACTGGCTGTGTGCACAAGCCCAGGGAAAGGAAGAGTGGTAATGAGCTGGCTTTTGGGGGTGTGCATAGACTGATCACCAGGATCACTCTAGACCTTTCCCTCCAGCAGGTTATCTGAATGAATAAAGAGGTCCAGCCCCTCATATCCCCAACCTGGCCCAGAGGACAAGCTTCCCCTGACCCAGTGGGACTGGACAGAATCCACATCAAGAGTAGACTAAGGTGGGCTATGTACCTGGGGCTGGCTGCTCCATGCCCAGGTCTCCTGTCTTCTCTTTGGAGAGTTCCTGCAGGCACTGGTCCTGTTCCTCCCACAGCACTTGTAGCACATCACACAGTCGAGGGAGGGTTCTGACCTGCAAATCCAAAATCAAGAATGTTCATCGTCGCTACTAAGTTGATTTTGCCACATAAGGACTTCCTGTGATCAAGAACGAGGCTGGACAAGGGGGATTCAATATCAGGGAGGCAAAGCCGCTGCCTGCGAGGATCTCCTAGTCTATAGTGAGGTGCAGGCAGCCAGCCCTGGGAGAGTTTAGAACAACAATCTATAGCTTGTCCACTGCAAGTCTTGCCCTTAAGTTTATCAAGGCTTCCGAGTCCAACAAGTTATTTGCTTTCTGGATAACTTATGATTAGCCTATAGGTCTTCATGTATTCCACTCTACCTGTGTTTATTTCTGAGATTTTGAAAGCTTAGTTTGGTTCAGACAAGGACTTTGAAACCTACACATAATCACTTCCCTGTCCCATAGAGGAGAATGTATGTACAACCCAGACCAACAGCAACTGCAGGGAGGAGGAGTTCGACAGGAGGGCTGAGGAGGGACTGACACAGAGTCTTGGTTTCCTAGCTCTTTCTAGAGTAGATTTCTAAAGCATATATTTCTAAAGCATAGATAGCATCACTCTTTCATTTGTGCCTGAGACTTGATAATGTTGTGAGTGAATGAATGAACAACTGAAAAGGTCAATAAATTGAACTACTTTACTTTTTAAAAAAAAATTATTTATTTTCATTAGTTTCAAGTATACAGTACATTGGTTAGCTATCTATATAGTTTGTAAAATGATCCTCCTAATTGCTCCCTCCCTCCCCTGACCCTCCACCTAGCCAATGTATTAATGCTAACTGCATTCCCTATGCCATGCTCCCCATCCCCATGACCATCCATCAGCTACTAATTTGTACTTCTTTAACCCTTCGCCCTATTCTCCCAGCCCCCAAACCTCCACTTCCCTCCATCTGTCACCAAATTGTCCATTATATTTGTAAGTCTGTTTTTGATTAGTTTGTTCTTTTCAT